TAGGCAGATGTGAAATAGATCATCACGTGCCAATTAGAAGCTGGGTCTAGGACTAGCCAGTTGAAATTCGAATCAATTCCATCATGGCTAGACAGTGTGTTGATTGTGATAATAACTTTTTTCGATATTATTGCAAAACATAAAAAAACGACGCGGGTTTATTATACCCGCGAAATCACGGTGTACTAGCTGTGGAAGCAGTCCCCGAACTGTAAGACACTGTGTCATTACAGGAAAGACAGACACCAGTCCATCATCAGTTCTTCGTCGAGGCCGCGAAACTGAAACCGGTGTCCGATGAGCCTGCGTTCACAAGATCTTTTCTGCTCTGTGCGCTTCGCTGTGGCCCAAAGCGCTCGGAGTGAACGGTTCCGCCGCGCAATGCACCGATCACCTGATTATCATAAACAAACTGTCCTTTGACAGTTTGAGACGTGTCACGAGAGAGATAAATTGCTTTCCTGATTGAGACTGTAATAAAGGCTCGACATCGAGGTACACAACTTCTGTATCACACACACATTAAAGACTAACAAAGATAGAAAGGTAAAAAGAAATATACGTTGCACTTCAGATTTACGTTTGAGGCTCTAAGTAGGCGCCCGTTTTGGTTGTTTACAAACAAGGCGAAGCGAACTACCTTCCGCCCTCGCCCTGCTCGCCACGCTGCCTCCGAAACGTTTTGTCAGGTCGGCTGTTTACCCACGTGAACAAAAAACGGCGGAGATTCACGATTCCCGCCAACAACGACCTGGAAGATCACGAGATAATGCTTGAGGTATGATGTGGGTAAAACTGTTACTGGGTCTGGGCTCTCCTGCCGGATTTTGTGGACCAGGTGGGGGGAGAGGGGGGTAGTTAAGGGGGCCGAAACCCCCTATATAATCTGGAAGCGAGTGGATATACTGTGGGGGAGGGGTTGGCTCCCTTCCAAAAGGGGGTTTAAGAGGGGCGAAGCCCCCATTATAACCAGGAAGCGAGTGGATATATTATGCTCTCCCGTGTATTGTTATTTCCCGAAATTCCCCCTCCACCCCCCAGATTCCCTGATACGTATTCTTCCCTCCCCACCTATCGGAACCGATATCGTAGCTGTGCTTCGTTTGCGAAGGAAATGAGTTCTAAATTCGTTCGAAACACGACGAAAACTATTGGAAAAATGTATTGTTCATCGGAAAATTGGTGTTAGGCATCATTCCCAAATTTGCCGCTATATGATTTCTCCTTCACCTATTATCAAAAAGGATCATTTGTAGTACGCTAAATTCATTTTATCTGCTGTTTTTACACTCAACTAATTAGGATAAGATAGTTTCCCCCTCATTTGAGCCCAAATAGTCGAAAGTAAAGAGTGGTTAACGGAGTTAGTTTCCCCCCCCCTTTTTGTAATGCTCTACGTTGTGAACTGAGATCTTTAGCAGTTTTGAAAATAATATCCTTTGTTTTACATCTTTAGATTGTGCTTCACTCCTAATCATTTAATCCATTAGACATCGAGATCTGAGATCAAAATCCTATAATGATAAAAAAGGAAATAATACAAGGCTTGGCTCAAGAAATCGCAAACCGAAATGAAGACTGTCAGGAATTACTAGTGCTAATATTGTTTATGATAAGGGAAAGAATAGCAGTGTTGCAGTTATTATTATTATTATCATTATCATTATTATTATCATTATTATCATCATCATTATCATCATCATCATCATCATCATCATCATCATCATCATCATCATCATCATCATCATCATCATCATCATCATCATCATCATCATCATCACCATCACCATCCCTATCACTATCACTACTTTCATTATCACCACTAACAACAGAAATAGTATATTTGTCATTCTCATTACGTATATAATCATCTTCAACAGGTTTTCCAGCAAAGCATCAACAAGAGGCTGTCGAACGGTGTGTTGGAAAGTCACTCTGATGTCATTAAGCATTGCTGTGGTGCTTCTAGTTGTTCATGACAGCCACTTCTCCTCGCCCAGTATTCCCACGCAAGATTCTAGTGGTAGGTTGTGTGTTAGAGCAAGGGTTCCCAATCTTTTTCATTTTGTGGCCCCCGACCAATATATTATAATCTCTCCGTTAAGTGACTGTTATCTTTTAGTTATTACTAGTTATGAATAATGGTGTTAGTAGCTATGGGGCACTTTATGGAAATGTTCCAACTTATTGATACGTAAGAGATAATTGTATGTGGTTATTGCAGATGAGATAAAATTCAGCTTAATTCGACGTCATAATTTTCATATTGCCCCATGGCCCCCCAGAAAATGGCCCGAGGCCCCCTTGGGGCCATGGTCGCCAGGTTAAGAACCCCTGTGCTAGAGGATGTTTTTTTTTGTGTGTTAGTGTATTTGTGCGTTTGTGTTTGTGCATGTATGTGTATGTGTATATGTATATGTAAATTTATAAGTAAAGAGAGAAAGAGAAGGAGAAAGAGAGAGACAGAAGGAGAAAGATAGAGACAGAGGAGAAAGAGAAATAGACAGAGAAGGAGAAAGAGAGACAGAGACAGAGAAGAAAGACAGAGACAGTAGAGAGAGAGAAGCAAGGAAACGTAACGTTATACTCAGTAATTGTCAGCAGTGCACGAGACCACAAAATAACGCTTCTTTCAGGCACATTGACTTTGAAGTCATTTAAAAGCACAGCAGATACAGAACAACCTATCATCTACGTCATCACAGCCACCTACAAACGGCCAGAGCAGGTTAGAACCTTGATCCAGTAATATTAATGAAAATAATCTATATTTGATTATGAGAGAGAGAGAGAGAGAGAGAGAGAGAGAGAGCGAGCGAGAGAGAGAGAGAGAGAGAGAGAGCGAGCGAGAGCGAGAGTGAGTTTAATGAATATCATTACTGATGTTGACATGTAGTAATTATTTTTAAATGATATACGATGGTATAGGAACATGTGAATCGCAAAGTGAATATAAACACTGTGTACATGTTGCACATAGAATTAAAACGAATATGTGACACTGATGATCTTCATGATGAGACTAATGTGATATGAGAATGGTTATTCACATAATCTGCTTTAAAATAAAATGCCAGGCCCATGAACGACACAACTTCTGCTCTGTGTTGTATCAATTTCTCCTAATGAGTCAGTTCCTAGTTACATGGCTCACGTACACACATCAGAATGAAGACATACTGTGAGAAACACACATATCAGTCACACCCCGCAACTGAAGCAGAAGAAATGACACTAATATTTACCACCCTTGTCAGATTCCGGAACTCACTCGCCTCGGCCAGACTTTGCTGAGCGTTTCCCGAATTCACTGGATCGTTGGTGACGACAGGAGAACGGTGAACCAGCGGGTTTTAGATCTCCTTGAATTCCTCGGCATCCCCTACACTTACCTCTTAAGTGAGTCTTGAGTAAGCTCTCTTTTACTTAGGTTCTTTTTTAAGTAAGCTCTCTTTTACTTAGGTTTTCTCTTGAGTAAGTTCTCTTTTACTTAGCTTCTCTCTCAAGTAAGCTCTCTTTTACTTAGCTTCTCTCTTAAGTAAGCTCTTTTACTTAGCCACTCTCTTAAGTAAGCTCTCTTTTACTTATCTTCTCTCTCAAGTAAGCTCTCTTTTACTTATCTTCTCTCTCAAGTAAGCTCTCTTTTACTTATCTTCTCTCTCAAGTAAGCTCTCAATTACTTAAGTCCTCTCTTAAGCAAGCTCTGTTACTTAAGTCCTTTCATAAGTAAATCCTTATCTCGGTAAGAATAGCTTAAGCAAGTCCTCTCTCCAGTGAGTCTTCTTTTGAGTAAGTCCAGTCTCATGTCTGCCTTCTCTTCACCAAGTCCATCCTTCAGTAAACTTCTTAATATTAGGTCTTCTTTTCTACTGCGCCTTGCTTTAAAATGAAGGGCCTCTGTGATCGTATATTTGTGAATCCAACACTTGCCCTTCTTTTAAACACTTACTCAATCCTACAATTATGAATACTCTCATGATCATATGTATACATAATTTTCCCATTCACGATGATTTCCTCAGCACCGATGCCGGAAATATACAGGAACCCAGCGGTCAGCGTGAACGACAGAAGGAAGGGCTGGGCTAAAAGGGCGAGGAAGCATTTACCCAGGGGCGTGGCTAACAGAATGGCAGGACTTGACTGGGTTAAGCAACATGCCTCGTCAGGAGTCGTTTACTTCGCTGACGACGACAACACCTACGACACCAGGCTCTTCGAAGAGGTACAGAGACCTTCGTTCGAGATGGTTATTTTTGGCGTTTATTAATACCAAAGTGAGTTTACTCTTATTAACATAAGAAAATTGGACCGTCGATGATTATTGTAAGTGGTAGGGATGACTTTGATATTTCTTTCACAAAAAAATCATTGTATGACGATGAATCTGTCAAGACAGAAAAGGGAAAGCCTGACATGCTGTATTAATTATCTTTTGCTAATGGGTAACTTTTCAATAACTATGTAGATATGATTGCTAATAAATGAACTTCATAATCACCAACTCCACGCCATGCCGGGCCATAGCCAGAACATCTGGCAGAGGCCCGGGCGAAGCCAGTTCTTCGCAAATCGCAATCGATCGATACTCCACGCCTCATTTTCTCTCGCTGCATGAACTACCCCAACAGAAGAAGAATAAGAGTGAGCAACAGAGGAAGAGCGCAGCCAACGTAAACTGATATGCCCGCTTAACTGTCGATGATTATGAGACACATTTACCAAGTTAACCTCCTGGTGACGGCGGAATGTCAAGGACAAGATGATTTACACGGGTTCCGCCGCCTCAACGCAGCGAGAGGGAGAGTAGCCTCGGACCCGGACTGTATACTTTCTCTCTCCTTCAGATGCGATATACCAAGCGGGTATCCATGTGGCCAGTGGGGCTCATGGGGTCCTCGGGAATGTCGACGCCCATCATCAAGAAAGGGAAGTTTGTTGGCTGGTACGACGCCTTCACTGACAGGCGGAAGTTCCCTGTCGATATGGCTGGCTTTGCC